CAAATATGGCCCGGGCTGCAGGAGGGGAGAGTGCAGAGGGCTGTGGAAGCAAAACCTGAGCTGCCATCGCGACAGGGGCCACAGGGCGGGGCCTGGGGATCGGGGCTTAGAGGGCCCCGTGGGTCCTGCTGGAGAGGAAAGCGTTTTGAGAAGATTGGCTGGTTTGTCCGAAGAAGTACCAGAGTTGGCACATACTCTGACACATGGTGCAGTGAGGTTGTGGAGACAAGGGTGACAGAGTGAGCGTTGCGGTGTCAGATGGCAACGGATTGGCTGGACACGGAAGCCTTTTTGGGTCCAGGTTGCAAAGGACTTTCTCTGTTCTAACGAATAATTGTAAAATATTTATGACCATTTAGGGAGGTATATTTGACAGGCAGCCGACGGCACATATTTAATGTGTACCATTTGATAAATTTGGCATTTATATAAACCTGAGAAATCCCCACTAATATCAAGATAATGAATATATCAATCAACCTCGAAAATGTATCCATAGTCTTCGAAATTCCTTTCTTTTTCTACCCTTCTCTCCAGTTCCCAGGCAAGCAGTGATCTGCATTTTCCCCATAAACATTCTATTTCATCTTTTGGCATTATATAAAATTAAAGTAATATGTACTGTCTTCATATTTCATTTGTCATTTTAAAATTTAATCCACACTACATCATATGTCCATGACTTTTAGTTGCTAACAGTACCCACTCTGTGGATATTGCGCACTGCATTTAAACAATCATCTACTGAGAGACATCGGGGTCATTTTCAATTTGCAGTGATTATGAAGAAAGCTGCCTTGAATATTTGTGTGGACCCATTGTGAGCACATACAGTATGTGTACCTTTCTCTTTGATATACAGTAGTGGGACATGCTAGGAGGTATATGTTTAACATTTTAGGAAGTACCAAACATTTTTTCAGCTGACTTCATCCTTTTCACTCCCACCAGCAGGACCCGGGAGCGATGACTGTGCCGCGTCCTGGCCCGCGCTCCGCACGGTCACCGACGGGAACTGCAGACACTCACGTGGGGGTGTAGCGCTGTCTCACTGTGGCTTCTGCCGGCATCTCCCTGACACCTTCTGAGCCTGAGCATTTCTCCATGTGCTCATTTGCCATCTTCATATGATGTTTGGTGGAGCTTCTTTTGAAATATATCTTTCAGCACTAAATGCGTTCTGTTAAAGTTTTATTTTTTAATCAGGTATGTAACTTGCAAATTGCCTGTGGCTTAAGGCGCCATCCTGTTAACACCGTCCGTACAGGAGCACACAACTTAAACCTTGATCGAGTGCAATGGCTTCGTCTATGGCTTTTGCTTTTGCTGATACAGCTCAGAACATGTTGCCAGCTTGAGCATTTTGTGCACATTTCCTGGTGGAATTATGTTTTCACAGTTAAATGTTTGCAGTTCTATTGATAGTACACAGAGTGTCTTTCTCATTTACAGAGATAACAACATTCCCCTCCTTTACTCCTGCATCACCATACGAGCAGAGGTTGAAACCATGTCACTCCTAATCGATATATGAAGAAGCCCCTTGGCCCAGTTAGGTGAAAGAAATGCTCAGGAATTTTGTGTTAGAGGCCACAGCTGCTGGGTTGAACCACAGACATGTGCCCCAGGGGGTGGGGGCAGCTGTTGAGACCTCATCTCGAGCTCAAGAGCCATTTGTCTCTTTCAGATTTCAGGTCAGTGGGGCCTCCCTGGGTCTGAGCTCACCCAGTACGAAGAGAAGGAATTTCATCCGGCAAGATGATCAGAGGAGGCTGGGCCTGTCCAGGATGAGCTCCCATGCTGGCCTGCGGCCTCGACCCACGGACTCCCTAAGCCACGTTCACCTCGGGGCCTCTGTCAACCTCAGGCAGCTCCCTTCTCCCTCCATCATCTTCCCCTGGACGGTTCCCTGCTGCAAGCAGGTGATGTTACCTGAGGCGGTTGACCTGGCCTGAAGCATGTTAGGGACTTCCTGAGCCTTCAAATACCAGAAAGAGCCTCCCCAACTCAGGGAATGGGAATAGAAGTGACCATAGAGCCACAAACACAAACGTGGATCACAGGGGCTGGGCTGGGAGCAAGGTGGCAGGTCTGTCTGGTTCATGTGGACCTTGAGCAGGAAAAGGAGCTTCCACTCTCGGAAGGTTAGGATGGAAGTGCTCCTGCCTCTTCGCTGCATGGACCTCGGAGGCTTGACACTGGGTGGTAGCAAAGCACAAATTCGCCCATCACCCAGACTGAGTCCTGGAAGGCCATGTTCTGATGCAGAATTTAAAAAGAGGACTGATTCTGAATATTTTTATTTTAGGGAGGAGCTGCAAGGCTGGCAGCTCTCAGAGAGCCATGCCATAACTGAGATGTCTTTTGGATGAAAGCTGCCTTCAAAATAGAACAGGCAAACAAACCAAAACAAACAAAAATCCTGTAAAACAGGCCATCATTAATAAACACCTCCAAGAGAGAATCCACACAGCTTGGTCCTGATGCTCCCGCGCTGACGATTCCAGGTTGGGGGTGTGCAAGGAGACAGAGCCCGCGGTCTCTGGGGCCCTTCACCTGCGCAGTCACCGTGTGCGGGGTTAATGAGCGCTGTTGGCTCTGGAAGGGGTAGTTCTGTGGCTTTGGTGACTGCAGGGCAGCCACATCCGTGAGCATTTTGTGGGTACTATACAGGCTCCAGGCAGGTGTCAAGGGCAGAGCGCTCTGGTGGAGGAGGGTGAGCTCAGGAGGAAGGATCCACCGGCTTCTAGGGCAGAGGCTTCAGAGTCGGTGACTCAGCACTCGGCAGGACTGGGCCTGTGGCAGCTGCATCCCAGAAGCTGGAAAGGACAAGCAGGGTCAGAGAGGTGGTGACAACAAGGTTACTCTGTTGGGGTCCAGGGCCACCATGCCCCATCTCTCACGGACCAACCGTTTCTTAGAAGTCAGTCAGCCCCTTCATGCAGGGAAGCACCTCTGTGCAGCGACAGAGCTTTAACCTCATGCATGGGATCTGCTGCAGGTACAGAGACTGTAGACTCTGGGGACTAAAGGATGACAAAAGCTTCCCATTTCTAGCCACACAGACGTGGTGTCTTCATGTTTGGCCTCTCATTTTCCATCGTTGGGGCCCAATGTTGGTATTTTATTCCCTGTCCCAGAATGGCGTTGCCCAGGCTGCCCCGCGGCCGCCGCTCCCGGGCCCTCTGTGGGCGGGGTCTCCCTTGGGGCCCATGAGGAGCCTCTGAGTCACGAGACTTCGTTATACACGCCTTCTGGGTGCCATTGTCCTTCAGGTTGGCATGTGGGTGAGCGAAGAAGATGCTCTCAGATTTGTGCTACACTGAGATTTCATTAGTTTGTGGGTTTTTTATATCTCTACATACTTATTGGTTAAAATAAGTATGGTGGTTTATTTACCAAATGTAAAGAGGAAAAGAATCAAGAGAAATTGAGAATCCTCTCTTCCATGTACAAAAAAAATGAAAGACATATAAAAAACAACATCTCCCCATCATAATAAATGCTGAAATAAATGAAGGAGACAGTCAAGCATAGTAACTATAACTGGCAAACAAAAATATAGAAAATTACAAATGACAAGAGGAAAACATGAAAATGAAAAAATCCATTAAAAATAGATTAGATGCATACTTTCCTAGGAAGGTAAAAAATAGTGTCAAGAAATTGAATAAAAAGAACAATTTCCTTAGAAAAAATAGAACACATCATAATGGAACTACTCCACCTAAAAAGACATAGGATACAGGTAGCTTTGCAACCAACACCAAACCCTTCAGAGACAGGATGTTGCAAATGTGTTTGCTGTGTACATACATATATCTTTGCAAACATTAAAGAAATGGTAACTTTCCTAATTCTTATAGAAAGCAGATGTAATGGCGATAACTACACCTGATTGATAAAATACAGAAAAGAAAAAATTACGAATAATAGCATGAAATATTAATCCAAATGATCTAAATAAATTATTAACAAAGGGATTGGATTCCAAAATCAGGCTAGTACATAGATACACCATTACCACATGTGATTTATTCCAGATATTCATCCTGGGTTCCATATTGACCAAACCTTTTATATAATATGTCATATTAATAGTTCAAAGGGTAAAATCATATGACCTCAAAGATTCAGAAAAAGCCTTTAACCAAATGTTAAAATAAATTTCTAATGAAAACATATACAAATATAAAGAAACCAGCACACTTACACTCTGGTAATTCACACCCTCTGCTCTCACATGTGACGTAGCCCTACAGTCAGCACATCAGCTACTGAGGCAGGGGAGGACATTCCACAAAGATCAGGAACTGGCCAAAGTGACTTAAACTCCGTTATTATGCAACATAATTCAGCAAGAATTAGGCAACGCAATTAAACAAGAAGGCATCATTAGCTGGACCCCAGTATCGATGGGAACAGACATGTGCTCATCCCTAAGCACCAAAGGGAGGCCTCATCCAAGGCACCGTGGTGCCGGTGCAGCAGGGACAGAAGGCTCTCCCCCTGGGCTGCAGGAACAGCGCTCACAGTGCGGGCGAATGGGAGGGTGGCAGCTCTGGGACATCCAGGAAAGACGTCAATGATCAATGACTGAGTAGGACCCCCCAGTCAGAGTTTAGACCTAAAATGACCGTACAGTGTCCCTAAGCCACCCTGTGTCCCCAGCAGATGGGGAGCAGGACTCTCTGTTGTGTCCAAGACCTGCTGCGCAGGAGGGGGCTGCTGCGAGGTGCTGGGAGGACAGCAGGCAGAGGAGGCACCTCCATTCCCCGGGGGCCGCCCTGGGCCAACCGGGCCCACGGTGGCGGCGGCAGAAGCAGCAGCCGCAGGTGAACCTCAGGGGCAGAGACTGGACATCCCCATCCCGACAGCTGAGAAGCAGCCTCTCTTGGTCCAGGCCCCACAGGCCTGCAGCTCTGAGTGAGCGCGGAGGCCGCCATCGCAGGAGTGGCTGTGAGGAGCAGCCTTGTCCTGGGCTCTCAGCCCAGGGAGCCTCAAGGGGCCTGAGCTGCCAGACCTGCTCCAGGGAACGGGCCGCGGACCACGCAGGGTGAAGCTGCCACAAGCAATGCGGAGAGTGGCGGCTGTGTGGGCGCCTGCTGGTGGCAGCACACACAGTGGGCCTCCCTGCTGTGCACTGACTCGGACCCTGCTGGGTCTGCGTCCCTGGTCCTTCCTGCGCCATCATGGACTCTGTTCCCAGGACAGCCTCCCCTGACATCAGGAACGTCTGCCCAGTTGGAGAAAATTACACAACGCGTTGCTGCCACACGCAGATCTGAAGGGCAGAATCCAAAGGGTGTGGACAGATGTTGCACTCACAGTTCCCTGACCTGCTTCTCAGACCTGAGTTTCAGGCCAACAAGCTAAGGAAGCAGCAGCCTTAGCAGAGGGGAGGGGACTGCACCGGGGAACCCACTGCAGGGGACAGCAGGTTTTTGTCTCACTTCCCCGCAGGCCTGCAGCACTGTGGGACCACTCAGACTCTTGTCATAGGACTGACAGTAATAATCGGCCTCGTCCTCAGCCTGGAGCCCAGAGATGGTCAGGGTGGCTGAGCTGCCAGACGTGGAGCCAGAGAATCGGTCGGGGACCCCGGAGGGTCTGCTGTTAGTACCATAGATGACGGTTTTAGGGGGTCTTCCTGGGACCTGTTGGTACCAGCCCACACTGTAACCATCCCCGATGTTGGAGCTGCTTCCAGTGCAGGAGATGGTGACCGTCTGTCCTGGGTTCCCAGACGCTGAGGACGGCTGAGTCAGCACAGACTGCGCCCAGGATCCTGGAGGAGGAAGACACACAGGGAGGTTAATTCTGGGTCTAGAGACAGGAGCAGAAAGAAGACCCCCATGGGTCTCCCCAAAATCTTCCCCCCATCCCCTATTCCAGTCACCTGTGCAGTGAGCGAGGAGGGCGAGGAGGAGAGGGGACCAGGCCATGCTAGAGGCCATGCTGAGTCCTGCCTTCTGTGGCCCCACAGCTGAAGCAGAGCTTCCCCCAAGCCTCTCCCTTCCCCTCTTCATACTCTGCAGGGGGGAGGGTCCGCTCATGCAAATGACGTCCCCGGATTTCTGATCCCTCCCTGGGCCCTCAGTCGTGTAGGGCCTCTGCCTGGGGACTTAAAGGGCGGAGGGGTAAAGTGGGGCTGTGTGGGGCCCAGGAGTGGTAAGGTCACAGCTGTGTCCCCATCTGAGCAGAGGACACAGGCAGTGCCAAGTAATAGGTCCCAGCCCTGATTACCTTAGACCTTCTGGGACAGTCCCTGAGCGCCCCCTGGTGTCCATACCTAGACACACCATTGTGTGACTCGGTGGCTGAGGCCCATCAGCAACAGATCCTGCCTCCTCACAACTTTGTTCATTGACCCCTCTGCCTTAGGGACAGGCCAGGCGCCCCTTTATGGGGCCTCCCCATCACTCAGGACACTTTCATGTTGTTCTTAGACTCCTCAGGGTGAGTCCTTGGCTGTTCAGGGGTCAGCACTGAGCTGCTTTCACTCCTGTCATCGGTCATGGAGCTGGATCAGGCCCAGAGCAGTGACTGCCCCGTTGGAGGCGTGTCCCCTGTTGACAGGAGACAGTTTCATTTTTTATGTGATTACCCCTTTGTTAGAAATTAATCACTATTTCAGCAATGCACAGTCATATTCTTTCAATGTCTTTTCCTCTTTTTCATCAGACTGTAAGCATGTAGTTTGTGCATTCGCTTTTTGATCAAGCTTTACCTGTTAACAGGAATCCTCACTAATATATCACCTGAATAAATAATTCACACTTGTCTATTTTATATTGATTGAGGGTCAGATATCTGACTTTTTGAGCCAGGCTCCCTCTGATCCCAGATCCCTGGACACAGAAGGGGAAGGTGATCGTGAAGGTACCACCTGTGACCCAGACTTCGTGAGGGGGGATTTTTCAGAAATTTTGTGAGTATATTGAAGACATTTCAGATAGTTTAGTCTAATCTTAGGATAATTTTCAGTCTAAAGTTTGATAACCAAGCTGTTATTATAAACATCTTGAGTGTATATTATTTTCCCCTTTTCAATATAATGGCCTCACTCTTCAGTGCATCCTAATCAACGTCTTTGAAAACTCCTCCAATTTTGACCTTAAAGAAAAAACAGAGCTTTCTCAAAATTTCCCTGTAATTTTGACAATCGATGCTATTGAGGGTTGGGTCATAGACTCTGTAGGCCAATAAATTCAAATGCTTTAAAAACCAACTTTAAATAATTAAGATCTGTGTTAATAAACTGGGTGCTGTATAAAGGTTATGAGACTAATACCCAGGGCCTTAATGGGAAGGGGTTTGTGCCTGTGCCTGGGAATCTGGAAATTTCTCAAGGATCTGATCTCAGGAGAGAGAGAGAATTCTGCTGTGTGAAGGTTTCAGAGCTCAAGGATGATGAGCTCAGCCCAGGCCAGGTTCACAGGACCAGCTGGGGACTGGGCAAGCAGGACCTGAAGCTCCTGGCTCACACACGCAGGCCTTCTGTGTGTCATTCCCAGTCAGCATGACAGGAGATGTTTTAGCTACTGGTGAAAAAGACATTTTTTTTTCCATTGGCAGAGCAGGAAGAACAAGAGTGATTTCTGTTGCTTTCATGAAGTTAGAATGACTCAGAACCATCAGTTCCTACAGAATCACTGGCACAGTGACAGCAGAAGCCACAACTGAGCTGGCCTTGGCCACAGGAGGGACAGATCAGTGAGAGGTTCTACGGGGGGAGGGGGAATAGAAGACAGATGTTCTAGCACTTTCCGTGGACTGGGTGTTCCTGTGTCACTGGGTTGTATTCAGCTCCCCTGACAGTGACAAGGAGCCTTGTTCACCCTCAGGCTGAGCCCCGCGTGATCAAGGAGACTGTGCGGCCTGACCTGACTCTGGAGAGCTGGGCGGAGCTCAGGAAGGACCACCAGGCCGTCCTAGGCCACACACGTAGGGAAGGGCTGTGCCTGGGAGTCTGTTCCGGCCTCAGAGAAGCCCACAGAGACTCTGCTCCTCCCCTGGAAAGAGCTTTCGCAGGACCATCGTGGGTGGAGTCACCTCCTGTATACACTGGGGAGTCTGCAGTCCCAAATTATGAAGGCTCCCTTGTGAACTTGGGTTTGATTAAAAGCGGCAATGGGGCATGAGGAGTGAATAGGACTCTCTCCAGTTCTTGCGGACTCAGGAAGCGCCCTTCACATGACTTCTTATGGATTCTCAGGGGTATGAGCTGTTGGAAAGTCCTATCTATGGACCTACTTCACCCACCTTCTCCGGAGCAGACTCGCTGTTTTCTCAGCAACGGCAGAGCCTCTCCTTCATCCTCTCATGTCCCACAAAGAGGTTTCTTGTCCGCAGATGCTCAATCCACACAAACACCCAATTGCTGATGCCCTGCTCCCTGCATCACAGCTGGGGCTCAGGTACCGGCCCAGTGCCAGGCAGCTCTTTGCCTGGGTCCCTCCCAGACCTGTGTCCTAACCCAGCATCTGAAGTGCCTTGTCTTGGGGACACAGGGTGCCTCAAGCAGCCCCCAGCTCAGGACCCTGGAAGGGATGGGAGGACTCCCCTGTGACCCCTTCATTGGTTCCCTAACCTCAGACCAACTCTTCTGCTCCCCTGGCTTCCTTTTCTTCCCCAGCCGCTGCCAGGGGAGGGGCCGTCCAGGCAAATGGCGGTCCATCCAGGGGCTGCCCCGCCCCTCCCTCGCCCCCGGTGCTGGAGCTCAGCTCACATCAAAGACTGAGGAGGATGGAGTTTGGCTTCACCCCTTGGGAGAGCCCTGGGGGGCAACACTGGCTGAGACCACACAAGGGTTCCTGCTCAGGGAACTCTGCCAGGCCACAGAGGACACAGCTACTGTCCCCATCAATGAGCTCAGGGCCCAGCCTCCACGCCCTGGGATTTGAGTAAAAGGTCCTCACTGAGCAGCTGTGTACAGACCACAGTGATGTCCCACAGCGCCCCCTCATGTTGGCAGGGCACACATCTCCACGTTAGCTAACGGCCTTGGAGCCCAGCTGGTTCCTGCAGCTCAGTAGCTCACTGACTCTGTCCTCAAGTCGGGGATCTAACTCATTGATGCTAATTCTGATACACTGCTCATGGTCACAGTGCAGTCCCTCACTCCAGGGTGGAGTCCCCGCCTATGGCTCATTCCTGACTGCTGAAGTGCACACGCCTCTCAAACTCCAATGACGCTGTCGTTCCCAATGTTCTGCACACAATACCTCCGCATTCCCACACCTCCCTGTATCCCTCGAGGTGAGTACGCGCAGGTTCCCATCTATGCTCACCAGGCCCACGCAGGTTCCCCCAGTCCGCTGCTGCCTATTGTTTGTCCTCACTTTATTGTATTCTTTGCATAATTACCAGTTATATTTCTAATATGCACACCTGACGATGCCGCCCTCTGATCATGGATCTCTCGTACATACCCTCTTTATAATCATTAAGGGAATATCTTTAGTGTCTCATTCAAGGTCTTTCGGGCGTGTCGGCATTTGGTCCCCTGTCTCCTCCCTCGTATCTCCCATCTGTAGCCTGTAAATGAGCGCACGTGGATCCTGGGGACTAGAGTGAAACTTACCTCTGGACCCTGTCTGCCTAAATGTTTCTCTGACTCCCGCCCCCATTTCCTAGCACTCTTCTTACAGGTGACCAAGAGCAACCCTGTATCCTATTGCAAATCTGGGAAAAGTGTCAACCTAGACCTTTCGGGTGATGACTCTTGGCCACGGGGAAAGGCACGCGCAGTTCTGAAAGAATTCATGGCCGGGCACCGCTACCCCCGCCGGCGTCCACCTCTGGCTCCGTTTAGACCGTCTCACTTCTGATGTGAGTCCCACCAGGACTTCCTCCAGGAATCCGTCTGGCCTGCTTTCCTGAGGGAGATGGGATTGCAGGAGGTCACGCATGGGGAGAACCGGAGACCCTGCCGCTTGAGCTAGTCTTAGGCTGCAAAAGGATGCTCACTGTCCTCCTCCTCCACCTCCCATGCTAGATGCCCCGCCCCTCCAGGTAGCACCTCGTCCAGATGTCTACCTGGTCGGGTGCACGAGAAATCCTTTCCGTATGTGCGTATGCTCAGAACCCATGTCCTTCTCAAGATGGGGACTGTGTTTATATAATGTTTCTACTAAGTTTCCCTCTAGTGTTTATCTGTATAAATCAAAGCTGTATGTCACCAATGTTAACCTGAAAATTAAAAGCCAAAGTGAGAGGCAACAAGCACTTATTTCAGAAAATAAATAATTGCAAGCCTGGGGCATAGATTCATGCAGAAAGCCAAACTGTGTCCAGTTATGGGGTGAAGGCTGTGATTTTTATGGGAAAGGGGAGGAAATAACTACATGACTAGAAGGGAAGCAGTTCCATTGGTGATCATGAGTCAACAAAGGAATCTCTACAGGTGAAAATAAGAGAAGTTATTCTTTTACTAAACATGGTGGTGCCAATTCTGAAGAGCGTCTCAAATTTTAATCCTGTAGTCAGGATGCCTGCTCTCCTGTTAGCTTTGCGTTGTTTGAATTATGCAGTTGATTTGACCCAGAAGAAAAGTTTTAGGTATTTTCCCCTGAATGTTCCTCTGTAATGACAGAGGTTGGAGAAGGAAGACGTGCAAGGAAACTCCCGTGGGACGGCAGCTCCAGCTCCAGTTTTCAGAGACTCTGCATCTATTGCTTCTTTGCACCAAATTATGAAGTTTTGCCTTGGTTGTGAAATGCTGGCCAAGCTCCATTCAGCCTTGACTGTGTGTGTGCACCTGTGTCCATGTGGGTATAACTTCTCCTTTTGCTACTCTTATCCATCACCTGTGACATGGTTGATTATATGGGCTCTTGTTTTAAAGATGACTTTATCTTCATAAAAATCTGGGTTAAAACATGTCACAGCTTAAAAACATTGCTCTGATTGCCTCCCCTGCGGCCATGGAGACAAACCTCTTGATCCCACGCTCACTAGGCGCAGCCCCTGAGAACAGGAGACGGGGACATTAGAAGCAGAGGATGCACTGGGGCCTGTGTTTTCGTCTCACTTCCCCACCTGCATCTGTCACTGTGGTAATAGCTGCTGTACCACAGGGCACAGTAGTACTCGGCCTCGTCCTCGGTCTGGGCCCCTGATAGCGTCAGGGCAGCTCTGTCCCCTGTAATGGAGCCTGAGAACCGGGCCGGGGTCCATGAGAATTTATTGTTTGTGTTATAAATCAGTGTTCTCAGGGTTTGGCCAGGCTTCTGCTGGAACCAGTGTGGATAGTTATTGTTGGTGACGGCTCCCGTGCTGGAGCCACAGGTGAGAGTGACTGTCCCTCCTGGGGACACTGTCAGTGAGGGCTCCTGAGTCACCACAGCCTGGGAGCTGGACCCTGAAATAAAAACAGACACATGTCAGGAATCAAGAATAAAGGCAGAGGGATCCCTCCAAAGGCTGGTGCCTGGAGCGTCCATGGACCTGGGCAGAGAGTGAGGAGGGGGAGCAGAAAGACGAGAGGCGTCCAGGTCATGGTGGAGCCTTTCCAAGATCCCCTGGCCTCTCAGGCTGGTGCTGGTCTCTGGAGGTGTCCCTTTATCTCCTCCTCAGCTCGCTGGGTAAAGGATATGTTGGTGGGGCGTTATGCAAATAGGACCCTCTAGCACCATCCAATACAGGGTCCTCAGGTCAGCTCTTAGCTTTCCTCTGAGGAGAACGCAATGGTTGTTGTGGGCTTCCGGTCTGTCCCTTGAGAGGAAGCACCTGCTGTCTGTCACCTCTACCTCAGGCCATGACTGTGGGCACAGGACCCATTCAGTTCAGACCCTTTGAGTTGGTTTCCGCCTTTCACTCTGAGAAGATCCACAGCGCCCCCTGGTGACGTCCTCTGGGGAACAGTCATGGTGGTGGGAAGGGCAGAAGGAATGGTGGCCCTTTATAAACAAACAGGTTAACCTATTCCTGATTCCTCACAGAGAGTTTCCTTTTTTTAATTTTACACATTGTGTTTTTCAACTCTATAATTTCCATTCGGTTTGTTTTCAACTTCTATTTAAATTCTGAGTTTTTCTCCTTTTCCATTTGCACTACGAATGCTTGTAGTTGCTCTTCAGGTGGATTGTAGGATCATTGCCAAAATAATACCCATCACTGTATTTCCTCATCTGAGTCACCTCCCTGTTTGTTTCAGTAGATTCTCTTGTTTCATTCAAGTTTTTAATTTCTTGGTTCTCGAAATAACAAGTGGCGTTTTTTACAGGACCCAGGACATGCAGCGCTCAGATCAGGAGCCCCGGGGTCCCACTGTCTCTTCCTGTGATCAGGCCGCCCTCCCGTGTGGCTGCAGCAGCAGGTCAGGGCATGTATGTTCAGCTCCCACTGGCCCTGGCAAAGGTCAAACACTGACCAGTGCTGCTGACAGCTTCCTGGGGACAGCAGGGCAGTGATTGTCACCAGCTGGTTCCCTTCACGTGGGGTGAGGGACAAGCGCACGGCTGGGCCCTGCTGACCTCAGGGAGGGAGGCACAGGGCTGAGTGGCGTTTCTGTGCTCAGTGGGGGCGGGCACTCAGCTCCCCACAGGGCTCTTTGGCCTCATTGATACCAGGGAGGGGCGGGGACGCCTGCAGCGCTAACTCCTCTCCCTTCTGACTGCCCCTTATTCAGCGTCCTTAATGCAGGTGGGGTCCAAGGCTTGCTCCCCATGGTCCCCACGGTCACCAACAGAGGGCGGGGGAGGAGAGACTTGCTCTGCCTCATGTCATTTCATTCAGTCTCATTGTTGAGTGATGAAGTTACAGGTCAACTCACCACTGAGTGGCTGGAATCATGGTTGAAGATTTTTGTCTGCTTAGCATCACGAGGAAAACATGGCCTCACAAAGTATGTTGGGGAATGTTTCTCCTCTGTTTTCTTTAAAACTATGTAAAAACTGTGTAAAATATGTATTATTTCCCACTTAAATGTTTGCTAAAATTAGCTAAAAAGTCCACCTGAGACTGTAATTGTGTTTTTGAGGTTTGAAACTACAGTGATCAAGAACTTAAAAATACATAATGACAAACATGGAAATAAGCAGATCGCATTTCTCATTTTATCAGACATCCAAGTTTACAAACAGGGCGAGTTTTCCCTCACTAGTAATTTTATATCCAATATTAATATTATTGTAGATTGACAATAAACTACATTATTATTTTTAGAAAAATTAGTCCAGTGATGTTGATAAAGGTAATGTATTTTGAAATAGAAATAGGAGGAGCTGTTCATTCCAATTTTAAATATGGTGCAAATCTTTTCTCAACTGTGGCAGCGACAGATAACATAGCATTGCCTAACACTCCATGGTCTCGGGGTTCTTGCCTGGGAGAAGATGGCCCCCAGGAAACCAGGTCACAGATGTGGGGATTCTGCTCTTATTGTCATGCCACCAAGGAACTCTGAAACCAGGTACAGAGCGATTCTGTTTGCATTAGGAAACCAGTAAGGAAATGAGACATTTGTGTTGGGCCCATAAAGACAGACAATGGTGAGACCGTGAGGCCTCTTGATGGATAGCGCAAGTGAAAACAGAAGTCAAAACCTGAACGAGTGTTGGTCACAGTCAGGGACAAGACAGTGATGGGTCACTAGAGAGAAGAGGGCAGGTGTTTACTTCAGTTCCACGTGGCATGGGCATTCTTTGTGGCAGTGGGTTTACTAAGTCATGTGACAGTGCCAATCAGCTTCCTCATCAGGCTAGACCTCAAAGGAGGTCAAAGAGGCCGTGAGTATGAACGATGGGCTGATGAAGAGGCCTGAACCCCTGACTGTCAGTGACCTTCGTCCCAGGTCCCAAGGAAGAGTCGGTGATCTGCCCCGAGATTGTAGGACTGTGGCTATGGCAACACTTAATGTGTTTGCTGACATATGTTCAGGAGAAGGTGGCTTCGGTTCTGGGCTCATCAAGAGCTCCCCAGGCAAGTGACACAGAACCTATTGGGGAGCACTTGCTCCTTATGGCCCACAGCCCAGCCCACACCCTGGGCTGTTGACACACTCCAGTGGGGGGTGAGAGGACAGGGGGACATGGTCAGGGCTTCTGGGCTCGGTAAACCCGCTCACAAGTGTCCCCATGGGCCTGGGAGGTGGCAGCTGCAGGTGCATCTCAGCCACGGCCCCACGTCACCCACGCCCCCTGCAGCGGGTCAACACTTTCCCAGCTACTGTGGAGCCTCCGCCACCACCCTGTGGTCCAAGGAGAGATTTGCGGACCTCACGCCCCACTTTTCCCCTTTGAGGACCCCCTTCCCTCAACTTCACAGCTGGCGTCTCAGGTCCCCAGCAAGGCCCACCGGTTAGCTCTGTTCCTGGGTTCCTCCTGCGCCTGAGTCCTCACTCACATCTGAGGTTCTGGGCCCTGAAACACGGGGCTCCTGCCAGCTCGGAGCTCAGGGGCCGCGTAGCCACGGGGCAGTCTCTGCTCTGACCCTCCATGCACAGAGTCCCTGCTGGGAGAGACTGTCCCCCTGCTGGGATGGGCCTGGGCTCTGACCAAGACAAAGGTAGGAAAGGCCATTGCCTCATTTCAAGGGAAAGAGGGCAGGTCCACGGGCTCTGGTTTTTTTGCACACAGATGACGGGCAGCGTTCCTCTGAGTCCTAAATGTTGTAGTTTGATTTTGTTTCTGCTGCCTGAGACTTCAAACTTGTTAGGAGAGAAAAGTGAAGGTGACCCATAATGTATCAAAAAGTACTTCCAAGGAAAATTTATATACATACAAGTTATTTCAATACTTCCAGTTGTCGTGAACCAAAACTGTTATGCTGAGGTTTTCGCCCCACTTCCCCATCTGAGTGTGTCACTGTGAGAAGCACTGCTATGGTCGGTTGCACAGTAATAGTCGGCCTCGTCCTCAGGCTGCAGCCCAGAGATGGTCAGGAGCCCTGCATTGGCCGAGGTGTCTTTGGAGCCAGAGAAGCGGCTGGGGACCCCGGAGCCCTGGTGCTTGCTTGAGTCTGAGTAGTAGTACAGCAGATACCGGGGAGGGCTCCCTGCCTTCTGCTGGTACCAGTATATGGTATAGCCGCCAACACTGATGTCTCTGCTCAGGGTGCAGGTGAGTCTGGCTGTTGCTCCAAGAGATGCAGAGACGGAGGGCGGCTGGGTCAGCACAGGCTGCGAGAGGGAACCTGCAGGCACAGACACTCATGGGTGATGGGGCAGGGACCAGGGATAAGTTTATCAAGATTCTGAGCAAGAGGAGAGTGGCACTGTGGGTTCCCAGGGTACCCAAGTTCTGTCCGTACCTGTGCACTGAGAGAGGAGCACGAGGAGGAGAGGAGTCCAGGCCATGGTGCCCACAGCCCCTGAGCCCGCGGTGGGGCTGGGCTGCCCAGGCCTCCTTTTCTTCCCCACCCTCTGCCAGGGGCGGGGCCGCCCATGCAAATGTGGGTCCATCCAGGGGCTGCCCAGCCCCTCCCTGAGCCCTGGTGCTGGAGCTCAGCTCACACCCTGGACTGAGAAGGGTGGAATATGGTTTCACATTTTGGGACAGACCTGGGGTCAGCACCTGCTGAGACAACACTTGTGTTAATGCTCAGGGGAATGGGCCAGGCCACCGAAGACACAGCTGGTGAGTTCCAGTAGGGAACTCGGCCCAGCCTCCAAGTCAAGGCCCCCTTGAGTTAACAGTCCTCATGAGCAGCTGTGTGCGGACTACAGGGCAGCCCCCCGCGCCCCCTCCATGTCACGGGGCACACGTGTCTTCCTGGACCAAAGCCCTGAGAGCCCTGCTGGGTTCTGCGCCTCAGCAGGTCACTGACTATTCGCACATCCAGGGTCTGGTTCCCAGATGCCGTGACTCTGATGCACTGTCCTGGTTACTGTGGCATCTCCCTCCCAAGTGTTCCCAACTGTGAGAGGTTCAATCATGTATGTAACTTACAAACTAATTTAGTCATTTCCAGTAAAGATGTCTCAAAGTAGATGCACAGTGAGCTTCCTGTCCAACATTACAGATGACGAGACAGTTGATGTGGTTTGAAGGGCTGCTTGCAGACATGGCGTAGGAAGGGAGTTTTCCAGGAATATACTCAGGGACATCTTCAAAGAACAATGCAGCAAACTGTTTAATTCATGTGAGGCATGCACAGTTTTTATGGAGATCTGATTGAATTCGGTATGTAATTGGTAAAACGCGATGGCTTCGGTGGAGAATTTACCACATTTACCAGTGCAGAAGGTAGATGCTTCTTCATTTTAGAAATTGACGTAATATTCTTATGTTTGCGGTATTCTCTATTGTGTCACATGTTTCTTGTCAAAATTTTCTTTTCGGTGTCCTAAAAGTTGTTTATATTTCAAACGAAATGTTTCTGTATTTTTTTAGTCATTGTATTAGGTTAGTAACAAGCTAAATATGAGATTGTGATGTGTTTGCAGATGTGCTGACTGTCTGGGCAGTTGAATGTAGAAAATATCACTTCCTTCTGTGCCCCGTATGCAACTCTGCTTTAACTGTGCAAATGGTGCCATGGTCCCCATACTTCTAGACCCATAAGGCCTTTCAGTAAATGACTGTGACCCAGAAACGCAGTTCCTTAACACGCTCTCTTCTCAGGCACCCCGAGGGGTGTTTCTCATTTATCTCAGGCAGGTTGCTCCCTGCTTAAAATGATCAGTGTGTTCTCGCTGGTGTTTGAATAAAACATGTCTCTTCCAAAAGAGAATACAATGTAGTTAGCTCCTGATGCTCCAGCACTGACGATTCCAGGTTCGGGGTGTGCGAGGAGACAGAGCCCGCGGTCTCTGGGGCCCTTCACCTGCGCAGTCACCGTGTGCGGGGTTCATGAGGGCTGCTGGCTCTGGAGGGGGTAGTCCTGCAGCTTTGTTGATCGCAGGGCGGCCGCATCCGTGAGCATTTTGTGGGTACTATACACGCCCCAGGCAGGTGTCAAGGGCAGAGCGCTCTGGTGGAGGAGGGTGAGCTCAGGGGGAAGGATCCACCGGCTTCTAGGGCAGAGGCTTCAGAGTTGGTGACTCAGGGCTCGGCAGGATGGGGCCTGTGGCAGCTGCGTCCCAGAGACAGGAAAGGACAAGCAGGGTCAGGGAAGTGGTGACAACAAGGTTACTCTGCTGGGGTCCAGGACTACCAAGTCCTCTCTCCCATGGACCAACCATTTCTTAGAAGTCAGTCAGCCCCTTCGTGCAGGGGGAACAGAATAGAGGTTTCACCTCATGGGAACTGCTGCAGGTGTGGAGACTATGGGACTCTGGGGACTAAAGGGTGACAGAAGCTTCCCATTTCTAGCCACACAGATGTAGTGTCTTCATGTTTGGCCTCTCGTGTTCCATCGTTGGGGCCCAGTGTTGATATTTTATTCCCTGTCCCAGAATGCCGTTGCCCAGGCTGCCGCTCCCAGGCCCTCTGTGGGCGGGGTCTCCCTCGGGGCCCAGGTGGAGCCTCTGAGTCACGAGACTTCATTATATGCGCCTTCTGGGTGCCATTGTCCTTCAGGTTGGCATGTGGGTGAGTGTAGAAGGTGCTCTCAGATATAGGCAACAGAGAGATTCTGTTAGTTGGTGGGTTTTTAAAATCTCTTCATACTTATTGGTTACAATGCTGGTGGACTATTTACCAAATGTAAGGAGAAAAAGAATCAAGAGTGAGAAATCAGAAGTTCTCTCTTCTGTGCACAGGAAAATGACACAGACATGGAAGAAACAACATCTCCCCATCATAAGTGCAAAAATAAATGAAGGAGACATTCAAACACAGTAACTCTAATTGGCACATGGAATTCATGTGTAAACAGCAGAATACAACCACCTACTAACTTTTGAGTCAAAATTGATAATGCACAAACATACAAATTTAAAAATAATATGTGGGGGAAAGGAAAATTTAAAAATCTACTGAAAATAAATTAAATAAATATTTTCCTAGGAAGATAAAAAAAGTTTTCAAAAGATGGAATGAAAGAGCAATTTCCTTAGAAAATATGGAACACATTATAACAGAACTATTCCACAAAAAAATATATACGATGCAGTTAGCTCTGAAACCAAAACTAAATCCTTCAGAGTAAATGTTCCAAATGTATTAGCTTTTTCCAAACATTGACAAATGGAAGCTTTCCTGATTCTTATACAAAGCAGGTGTAACAGCCATACTTACACCTGAGAGATAAAATACAGAAAAGGGCATATTATAGACAATTACATGAAATATTAATCCAAATGTTCTAAATAAAACATTAACAGAGAGAGTCCAATATCGGACTAGTAAATAGAGACACAATTACTACATTTGATTTATTGCAGATATCCAACTAAGGTTCCATTTTGACCAACCCTTTCATATAATACATCATATTAATAGATCAAAAGATAAAACCGTAAGATCTCAATAGTTGCAGAAAAAGCCTTTGACTGAAGTTTAAAATAAATTTCTAATGAAAACATATACAAATATAACCAGCACATTTGTAGTATGGTCATTCGCACCCTCTGCTCACACGTACGACGTAGCCCTCCAGTCAGCACGTCAGCTACCGAGGCAGGGGCAGGACGTTCCCACAAAGATCGGGAACTGGCCAAAGTGACTTTAACTCCATTATTATTCAACATGATTCAACAAGTAGTAGAGAACACAATTAAACAAGAAGACATCAATGGCGGGATGTCAGCACTGAGGGCTATGGACGCCGGGCCATTCGCAAGCCCCTAGTGCAGACAGGCCACCCCCGAGGCGCTGCGGTGCCGGTGCAGCAGGGACAGAAGGCTCTCCCCGTGAGCTGCAGGAACTGTGCTCACAGTGAGGGCCGATGGGGGGGTGGCAGCTCTGGAACATCCAGGAAAGACGTCAGGGATCAATGACAGGGATGCAGGGCTTCCAAGTCAGAGTTTAGGTCCCAAATGACCACAGATTTTACCTGCATTTCACTCCTGGCCTTTAGGGCAAAACGCCATGTTCCCAGCCGATGGGGAGCAGGACTCTCCGCTGTGCCTGAGACCTGCTGCGCAGGAGGGGGCTGCTGCGAGGTGCTGGGAGGACAGCAGGCAGAGGAGGCACGTGCGTTCCCCGGGGGCCGCCCTGGGCCCCGGCGGCAGAAGCAGCTGCCACAGGTGAGCCTCAGCGGCAGAGGCTGGACATTCCCCGTCCCGACAGCTGAGAAGCAGCCTCTCCTGGTCCAGGCCGCACAGGCCTGCAGCTTTGAGTGAGCGCGGAGGCCGCCATCGCAGGAGTGGCTGTGAGGAGCAGCCTTGTCCTGGGCTCTCAGCCCAGTGAGGCTCAAGGGGCCTGAGCTGCCAGACCTGCTCCAGGGAACGGTCCGTGGACCACGCAGGATGACAGTTGTCACAAGAGATGACAGTGGAGGCTGTGTGGGTGACAGCACACACTGGACCTTCCCGGTGTGTTCTGACTCAGACACAGCCGGGCTCTGTGTCCCTGGTCCTTCCTGACCCATCATGGACTCTGGTCCCAGGACAACCTCTCTGTTCCATGCACAGAGATGGTGATTCTGGGACTGGAGACCAAGAAGGGAGAAGACCCCCTTGTCTCTGTCCCCATCCCTGTATCCAGTCACCTCCGCAGTGAACGATGAGGGTGAGGAGGATGGGGAGCCAGGCCACGGTGGAGACCATCACAGAGGCCTGCCTTCAGTGACCCCACGGTGAAGCAGGGCTTCCCCAAATCCCTCTCTTCTTTTTTGCACTTCAGAGAGGAGGACTCAGTAATGCCATTGACCATCCTGGCTAGCTGATTCCTGGGCCTAATCAGGTGTCCATACCTGAGGATGGCCATGGGCGTTTGCCAGTGGGGCTGTGTGAGGCCCTTGGGTAGGAGAAGTCACAGTTGTGAGCCCTCAACAGAGGTCACAGGCATTGCTGGGAGGCTGGTCCCAGCTCAGATCACCTCTGGTCCCTCTCGTGCCCGAGCGCCCTCTAGTGCCATTGTGTGACAAGGTGACGAGAACCCATCAGAGACAACCTCTGACTTCCCACTTTCCGTCCCCTGAACCCTGTCTTAGGGCCAGGCTAAGTGTCCCTTCTTTTAGCCTCCCCATCACCTCAGGACACATTAATGCTGTGCTCAGGGTCCTCAGCGGGGAGCCTTTCCACATCTCTCAGGCCTGCTTCTGCTCAGGAAGGAGGTGGCGACTCTTACGTAAACCCTTAGACCAGTATCAAGTCCAGAGCAGTGACCGGCCCCTGGAGGCATGGCCCCTTCGGTGCAGGACACCAGTCCATCCCTCCTGGTTGGTAGAGGTCTGCTGGCCTGTGGATCCCCAGCAGAACTGAGGAGAAAGGGGGCCCTTCTCTCTAGGGATGGGGAGGTTGTAGGGAGA